AAACGCAGGTGAGCCAAATCCACGATCAAACGCGACTCATGCTAGCAAAGGGTCGCCTTCAAGTAGACGAACAGAGAGCCGAACACAGACTCGCATACCGATGCCCCCCCGAGCCGATGCAGTTCACCGCGCAAAGAGAGCCCAGACCTGTGGAGACGCACGATATGGCGGCTGTGGGGGGCAAGTGAGCCGGCGACGTTCGGTCACTCTAGCCCGCTGCCCAAGCAAGAAGCGGCTTCACCGAGAGAGATCAACCACTCAGCTGTGTTTCCGCATGAGAGGCTCGAAACGTTGTGGGCGCAGGCCCGAGACGAGCATGATCAGACACCGCTTGATTCAAGAAGTCTAGGGAAGATTCGCGGAAGCAACTGATGAAGATGCGATGGCAGAGGATCCAACCTGGAACCAGGCACAAGTGACGCGGACTCAGGTGAGCCTCTCGCGATATAACGCTCGCGGGCGGAGCAACTCTCTGAAATTGGATCGATGCTGACGAAGGGGTACCCGCCAAACAGGTCATCAGAGAGCCAGAAAAGGCCTTGCGCCCCGACGACGCGCCAAACCCACGGCGTTCCGCCACGCACAGACTCGAGCTCGATGTAGCAGCAGAACACTATGGATTCGTAAGCCACCTACAGACTAGCAGGGTATCTATCGGACACGAGAAGATGGCGTATATTGAGCGCAGCGGGACCCTCCGGCAGCTGTGCGGGTCGCCATCTGGCGTAATGGAATGTAGCCACCCTCACATCCAACGTCTGTCCACGGTGGCGGCGACGGGGAGACCGAAAGTGGTTCACGAGCTTCTCACGCGATTGCGGCGTCGCACCGTGGTTCTTGCCGAACGTGTTCGTGGCGTTGTGACGATCCGTGGCGCATGCATTACAGCAGGTGATGTTGAACAGCTCGTGATCGCTATCTCTGGGGAGAGCCTTGATTATTTCTTCAGCTGTGTGGATGAGGGGAGCGGCTCATTAAAGAGTGCTGTGTTGCCTTCAGCAGCTGAGAAGCTGCCATCGAGCCAGATGAGTCTTGGGCCGAAAGATAGAGTACCTACGAAAGGCGTGGGCCACCCACTAGCTGCTGGAGGACCCTTATACTTATCGGGCATGCCGAATTCCTCATCCCAAGGCGGCTGCATTATCCGATCGGTTGCGAGATCGTGTGGAGGCTCTCGGGCTCTAGTCATCTCCCCTTTTGCTGGCAAAGCGCTGCTCAAGAATATTAGTGGCGCGCAATTAGCTGAGGCAAGGCAACGTCGCGATGGGGTAGGGGCACGTGTATCGTAGAGATGAGCATAAGGATATTTAGCAATCACGCGGGACGATCACGCATAGATGTACATTCCGAACAGGAGCGCGTTGAGTGATTTGCACTTTATGTACAGCCCTATCATTTCTGTTGATAGCTTGAACATTCATACACGAAAACCCTGTTCCGTCAAGCCCGCGCCTCCATCTGCCCTCCACCGACAGCGCGTAGCACCCGGGTCGCTGGCTTCTTGGGCGATCTCCCCTTTAGGACCAACTCGTCAACCATGTGCTGCTCGTTGTTGAAGACAACGGTTGAGCCAGAAGCAGAAAACCACCGGACACCAGTAAGACCCCCGAGCCAATAGCTCTTTCGATGATTTCCCTTTAAGAATCTCCTCTTTAATGTTCGTGCCGTTGTGTCATCTGTCGAAGTATTTTCAAGCATAACTATCCCAGATTTGTCCATGAGAACCGAAACTGCATTCCATGTTACTCACCCTCTTGACTAATTCAAGCCCAGTCACAACATCGTATTCCGCGTCCTTTCGTCCGAAAGAAAATCCCAAAAACAGGTTGACAGTCTGAATGGATAATCAAACCACGAAATCCTGCCCTCTTTCTCCTCTGGATTCCGGTCACGATGTTGCGTTGTGCCGGGTTTTGTCTAAGGGGAGTCTCAAGGGCGGAAATCTGAAGCGCGAGATCTTGCGCTTTTGCGTAACCTGCTCCAGTCCCCAAAGGAGACGTCGCATTGTGCTGGGTTTCGTCCGGAGGAGGGTCCCGTTTCTAGAGGAGTAGTCTGAGGGCAGGTCCGAAGCGTGAGATCCTGCGCCTTCTACGCCTCTTTCTCCGGACTCCGGTCACAATGTCGCACTGCGCTGGGTTTTGTCTGAAGAAGAATCTCGCCGGACAAGCTGGGGGAAAATTTGAAGTGCGAGAGCTTGCGTCTTTTAGACCTTGCCCGGATCAGTAATAAAGGTCTCTTCATCCTCTGCGCGATCGAAGCTCACCATCTCATTGTTTTAAAGGTCTCTTCATCATCTGGACCCTCCTCTGCGTAATTAAAGCTCACTGGCCCATTGTTTTGAAGTACGTGTTGAGGAGAGAGTCCTGCAGATGGCAGCCAAGGAGTATGGATGAAGTATGCAGAGATACTGTACTCGCTTGAGTTAGAACCGTTCCTTCCTAAGCGTCGAGTCAAGGATCTGCTGTGTTAGCGGCCACGCAACTATCCAGCTTGACGGCCAGGGATAGAATTGGAGCGCGAGATCTTGCGCTTTCTGCACCCTGCCAGCATCAACGGCGGAGCTGTTTTGCCGTCCCGATCCTCCTATCGGGTGCGGCTAGGTTTTTTGCAAGCGCGGAAGTCGGGAATCCAAGAAGTCGCTACATCAATACAAACAATCTCTCAGCTCCCGGCGGCACCGGATCTTTCACCGTAATTCGGATGCGGCATCCCAAAATAATGACACAAATACTCTTCCGAGACTCAGGCACGGCTTTTTTCGGCGCATCCCGTCACACCGAAAAGACCGTGAGCGCCTAGACGCAAGGAACACTGAGCGCGGCGCCGAATCAAAGCGGAACGCCTCCGGGTGAGAATTCGAGAGGGTAGCGGTTGCCGACGGTGACAACCGAAAACAGTACTGTAAACTGTCCGGTAAGAGGCGGGTTGGTCGAGGAGGCAGGCGATGTCGATGCTCTGACAAGAGGTAGGTTAGGCCAAAGTGTGGATTGATCAAGGTATGGGTGTTGTCGCAGTGGCGAGGGCTGCTGAACTATGCGGAGGGGAGGCTGTAAAGTTGATGTCCAGTTTTGGAGGACAGGTGGGAGGGGGCGCGGGGCAAGCGTGGGCGATTCGGTCGTGTTGGACGGGATGGCGGATGCGGCGGGACAGGGTTAGGGGGTGCGTAGCGGATGGGACTGTTGCACGCCTTCAGAATTGCGCATAAGAGGTGGATTGGTTAAAGTCAATGTCCTAGTGAGTGGTCGATGATCGAAGACGCAGGCGACTCCGCAGCGACAGGGATCGCAGGAGCGGGCGGAGGACGCTAGGAGGGGGCAAGGGAAGGCTGCAATATCGATTTCCTGATAAGAGGTGGATTGGTTAGAAGAAGGGCGATGGCGCAGCTTACACCGGCGAGGATTACTGGAGTCGGCGAGGCCGCAAATTTGATTTCCTGATAGAGGTGGATTGGTAGGAGGCCATAGTGGATAAAGATTGGGATAGAGGGAGCAAAGAGAAGCTCAACCAGCAGAGAGGGTTGAGAGAGGACCCCGAGAAGACTCCAAAACTCGACGCTGCTACCAAAGGGTCAAACGCGCCGATGAGCGTAGCGGCAGCCGAGAAAGGCGTGGCTATCGACCTAAAACAACACCGGAGGGTGGAGTATCTCGAGCCGACGCGAACACAGCCTGTGAACTGGTGATTGCAGCTTGAGCTAGATTCCCATGGACAGGTACGGCGGGTTGTAAGCGCGTCAGCAAGACTGAATGCAAGCGGCCATCTTGTTGTAAGAAGGGGGTGACCGATCGCCTCACAGGAGAGGGATAGACGGCAGCTGCGTAGTCTTGCTGCCAATAGATCAGGACCAGTCCCGAAATGTAATCAAGCATCAACATGCTAGATTGGCGGTCAGCGAAGATGATCACTCAGCATACCCGGTTGCACACGCATCTCTTGTCTCCATGGGCTTCTTCTTGAAGCAGGGATCGCGCCGGCGACGCAAAAAGGGCCATTATGTCTTCTAGATACCCGGACGCTGTCTGGCCGCGGGACACGCACTCTCTATCTGTCAAGATGACACTTTTACAGGCCGGTAGCGCGTGGTGGCACGTCCTCGTAATAATTATTGGGGCGGCATTTCTTCCAGATGCCTAGACGCCCTTCTGAACATAAGACATGCAGTCTTTCTGTCCGTCGAGAGGATCCAGGTACTGAGACTCTTTCAACCCCCGGCAGGAGGCGGCAAGACATCCCCGCCGCAATCGCTGAGGCGGCACTTCTTTCGAATGCCTTCATACTCGAGAAGTTTGCGAAAGCCTCGGTCGACACTCTTTGAGGCGGAGAGAACTCACAGGTCGCAATAGGTGATTTGACACCGTGCAGAGGCCTATCAAAAGCCCCTAAACGCCGTCGGCAAGGACTCCGCCATACTCCGGCCATGTGATGAGCCCGTAGGCCGTGGAAGTTGGGCATGTGATTAGGGAGGCGGGCATATGGGCGCTGATGGCGGTGGTGGGAAAGGCGAAGGCGAAGGCGGCACACGACTCGCAGTAAACGGGAACCCGATGAAGACTGCGAACGAGAAGCAGATAGAGACTCGCCGACGGGAACTAGACAAAGACCACGATCGCGCCAGTCGAGGTATGGGAGAAGAACCCGAAATGTCTCAAGCAGGACCTCACGGCGCAGAATGGAGACGGGCAAGTCCGGCGGAGCTGAACTGGTGTGTTTATGAACCACGGTTGGATTGGCAGAGACGCAGTCCGCCGTCTTCTTGCGGGAGTCATTCCAAGGTCGTTGCTCGCGGCTCTAAGCAGATCATGGGCGGGCTCGTGTGCTTGGGTAGGCTGACCAGATCCGGCCCTGTTTGCAAAGGGATTAGGCTAGGTCTTCTGTGGAGCTGGTTGGAAGCTGAAGCGAGTTCTGGAACGAGCTCATCGCAAGCTCCTCCTCTTCCACCGGATTCCGGCCTCGGATACAAGCGGATCAGGCCGGGCCCTCTATGGATCGGTAGCTCGGCGTCAGATGGGACACCGGGTTCGAGGATCTTGCCGCTTGTCTCTTCCACGCATCTGGCGTGGTGAGAGCTCATCACCGAGGATCAGTGACCCGGTGCCAGACGAGCCGCCCGGGTCGGGAAGCTCGACAGAGTCGATCGATGGCTCGGCGGATCGGACTTTGTGTTCGAGGAACCCGTCATCTGCTCTTCTACGCATCTGGTGCGGCGAGAGGCCGTCCCAGAGCATCAGTGGCTCGGCTTCAGGTGGGACGCCTGGTTCGAGGAGCCTGTCCTCTGTCTCTGGCGCGGCGAGAGCTCGGCTGGCAAGGGCTCGGATCGGTCGCTCGTCGACAGATGGAACGCCTGGCTCGAGAAGCCCGTCATCTGTCTCTTCTGCGCACCTGTTGTGGTGAGAGCTCGGCCGGTATAGGCTTCGATCGGCGGCCAGGCGTCCCATGTGGCGCCTGGCTCGAGGGGCTAGTCACAGAGGGGCGGTGGCTCTAAAACGCGTGGTTCGAAGAGCTCGCCATCAGTCTCTTCACACATCGGGTGCAGTGAGAGTTCGGCTCGGTTGGGTGGCCGGCACGCGCAATTTTGTACTGCCATACTGAAACGATCGGAAGAAGTAGGAGTTTCGGCGCGGACACCCGGGTCGTCTTGTCAGCACGGTCAGTGCGTGGACTAAGATCTGACACGCAAACCTTCTATCAAGCCGAAAGGAGTGGACGGAGCGAACAGAACATGAAGCGTGGAGGCGGCGGAGAAATAGGCCCGCAGAAGACTCCGAAGCGCAGCGATAGAAGGGCATGTAAAGTTAATAATTTAATGTCTGTTCTCCTCGTAGCACGACGCGAAGGGGGAGGATCTTGCTTTCTTTTAGAAAGTCCTCCAGTGCTTCTGTATACTCTAGCTCGCCTGGCAGGGAGATGGGGAGGCGCAGCCAGGTGGCGGACTCTTCTCGGTGAAGGCGGCGGATTGATGCCATTGCTCCAGAACACCCTGATGAGATGCGAGGCTTGTGCACCAAAAGGCAGTATCATTCATCGAAATACATAAATTCCAGTGCTCGTAACGTTGTAGACGAGCCCAGACGGTGCCTGACACTAATCGATGCGCCATAATATTTGAGTTTGGAGACGCAACTAGTAGAATGTCTTCCGGAGCGCTAAGTCGATATCGGGAGGTCCAAGGCTTAAACTCCTTCCCAACGCTGTCCAAAGGGCGTCTTAAAGCTGGGAATCTCTCGGGGTGATTGTCTGGCGGATATGTTCAATCTATAACTCTGGACTGGTTGCGTCTTGGGTAGGGTTGGGTATACCAGGACTGTGATGTCAAAACAGCTACCCAACACTGTCAAGCTGCGATTTAGTGTCGAAAGGCTGCATTAAAGTCTGCAGCAGCTGTCAGAGCCACTGCGTGTGGGACAACCAGACAGTCTCTTGCAAACAGTTACCTAGGTACACATTCGGGAAACGAGCTCCTGAGAGGATTCAATGTTCTACAGACTTCGCGTTTACTATGTATTCTCTATACCACCTTCATTTCGCGAGCCTGCGCTGCAGAATTCGCCTCACTGGCCGGTGGCGAAAGTCCGACTAAACATGGAAAGCTACCGTGGTGTCGTAGACCGAATCTTTAACCGATTGCGAATATGGAGTTCTGACGGCATCGTGAAATCTCTACCAGTCAGGTTGGGTAAGTCATACCAAAAGAGATGTTTTGAGAACATGCGGAGACAACTCGACAGTCTGAGATGCTGACTTTGATCTAAAGGAACTTCTAGCAGTGACCAGCAATGAGATACAGGCTTGACCACGGCAGCTAAGAAAGCGATGGAAGTTGCACCCCTCAGTAGACGCCTATATGCAAGTGGAATGCTTGCCACGGATTTCCGCCGCACGCGCACTTCCAGACGAGCATGGAAATAGTTCTGCCGGCCTATCTGTCCGGTCCATATTTTGACGCAAAGATCCCCCTATGCAACCAACCCTCACGATGCTCAACGGCATCCAAGTATGAGCTGCAGGCCAACGCCATCTATAGCGCGCTTCCTGTTGTCCCCAATCCGCAGCGAGGGCGGCGCCACAACCTCCTCCGACAGCGTTTATAAAGTTGCCGTCTGGCAGTCTCGGGTCTCGCGCGGTGGAGTCATCAACAGGGCGGAGGAGAGCGTTCCTGTCTGCCAGCGAGGAGGTGTGCGGTGTCTCTATTACGATCAGCGCTCTACGCTGCTGCCAATAACTCCCACAATCATGTTAAACTCGGTGGGTATGCGCAGTGAAATAGGGGCGGAGCCACTGCTGCTTGCTACTCTTCGGCTGTATGACGGCAGCGCAACGAGATAGTGCCGGCGGATCCTCTAGAGACGGTTCGCTAGGTGCTTGTGGGCGGAAAGCCGGCAGAGTATATGCCCGTAGTCGGAGAGAAACGGCATCGAGCGTGGCAACGTAGCAGACACTGAGCTCAGAAAGGATTGCTCTAGAACCGATTCGAAGATGATCTGGGACGAGGAATGATTGAAAGGTGGGCGGGGGAATTCTCTATAAACAAGTCTCTAGCCAAAAGAAAACCGAGTTATGAAAGACCCTGCCACTCTAAGGAGGCTTCAATTTGCGAATCACGTAGGCACCTACCGTCCGTTACTCCTGTTGAGTTTGCGAGAAGTCGCAAAGTGGTATGGCGGTTGTTTATAGATGCTTCGTGTCACGTGACATCGACGTCACCGAAAACCGTATTCCACATCAACTAGCCTTCAAGGTAGCTACCCGGTATACGTTGGTTCGAGTTTAATTCTTCCCGCATATACCCGCCGCAAGACTGCATTTGGACCCGCTACAGTCTCAAATTACGCTCAAGTCCTTGCAATGACAAGCATGCGCGTCAGCACGAGTCTCTTCGTGTCATTCAAGTGGATACCGTCCACTCGCGGGGCCTTCTGACATTCCTTATTCTTCTGGCTTCCTTCCTTTTCGCTAGCAGCTTTGGTCACATGCTTATTCTGGCCTCGGATTCGAGGAGATTGCATCCTCAATCGCAACTCTATTGGGTATTATAAGTAAGCGAGTTTCTTCCGTCTAATTGTAACAGACTTTATGTTAACTGCGAAAAGTGTACGCCTTCTACAGCATCCTCTCTAGGTCCAGTTCCCTACCACGCTTCTGGGTTTTCATATATAGAGTCAATCCGTTCACCGTGTCCAGCCTTTCCACCACTCTTAGGGGTGCCCCTATTCACTGTGCCGAGAACGAGTTTCAGAGCTTTTCCGCACCAGAGAATGAAACCTACGGCGAGTATCTACAGGAGTATATTTCACTCGCCAGCGGGTACGTGAGCAATTCAGGAGCCTCAGGCGACGAACCTTACCACTATTGCCGCATGCCGAGTACAGATTAATTCTTAACTAGCGTCAGTATAAGCTGCGAGAATCGCTGGAGAGACTAGGCGCTCCTATGCGTGTACGTCGCTTTCAATATCACTACTACGGTGATTTTGTACTGGTTCATAAGAGTGCCAAAGGGCAAGAAGAAGGCGAAAAAGGAGTAGAAAGCGGTTCACGGTAGCTGTTATGTCTACGAAGATGTTACGCAAAGAACAATACTCTTGCTTTCAACCCTTCACAATTTTATATCGAGAAGTTGTATCTAACTTTGCTTTAGACTATTTAGACCGTTCAAGATACAGTTACTAAAAAGAAGAGCGCAATTGTTCTCGTTCCCTTCTCATGTTTCACTTTAGCGCACAGTTGCGATCAGTCGTCATAGCTGCAATGCCGATAACCCAATATAGCTGAGTACCTTGTTCTCTTGCATCTTCGCCGCATGGACCTTTCGCGCACCTAATCTCAATACCCGCTTGCCTTCGCTTGTAATTATAGGGGTGTTAAGTATCAAAGGCTTCTGTTTCTACATCGACTACACACTTCACCTGCTGTCAGAGAGATAAGCAATGCATTCAATGCAATATCCTACACTATTAAATTCGAGGATACAGGTTCACAGTCCGTTTCTCTACCGAGTTACCAACTTGCGCTGCTGCTTCGCAGACCCCTTCTTAACCGTACTCGAGAATAACTCAAAAGCTACTTGTGCCGCTGCAAGGAATGTCACCTCGCCAGCATCGTCACGACTTGGGCTCACTTCGACGATGTCAGCCCCAACGAGGTTCAAGCCCTCAATGCTATGCAGTATCTAGGTGAGTTTCCGTTTAGTCCGGCCGTCAGGGTCCGGCATACCAGTATCCACAGATACATAGCCATGACGTTCAGTACCGGCCCGATTTATTATGCCCTTGATTATCTCCTTGCTTCGGGTGATTTCAGTTTCAAGCTACTAGTACCGAAAGTACAGCCAAACCTATTGTAGAGGAACTGCAGGTTTGCACCTCACAGCACCGTTTAGACTGCTGTTCTGCTGGAGGGGCTTCTACGCAGGCTCAAACGAGATATTGTGGTTGCAGTCAACACGATGGACAGCCACAGCCAGGCTCTGTTGTTCCTCGTGGCCAAACAAGGGTATGATGAGATAATGAAGCTGCTGCTTGGTAAGAGCGCCGACGTTAATGCGTAGGATGGAGATTACGGTAACGCACTCTAGGCAGCTTTAGCTAGAGGCCGTGAGGAGACAATAAGGTGTCTAGTCGATCCTCGATCTCGGAAATCTTTCACCTTATGCTCAATAACATCGTCACTCAATTCCTATCAAAACATCAACCAATCTCCTTCAAAGCTTGCCCATCGCTAAGTTTTCCAGCATCTCGCGACCAGTGACCCAAGTCGTCCTCCAAAGCGTGGGGAAATCCAATGTACTCGAAAACGCTGTATTTTGTCAGCACTCTCCCACAAGCACATACTCCCGGAACCACAGATGACTTACTATCAGCGTATCCAAAGATCAGCATAGGCGGAATCCAACCCCTCGCGTACTCTAATGCAAAACACCCGCTCTCCATCTTATACTGCTTAACATCACCCCTCTTTAGATGATGCACAGTGCCCTGCGGATACCTCTCCGGCTCGTAGACGCCCTTTCCCGGTGCATACGCCAGTTGCTCGCCGCGCAGGATATGGAAATAGTCGTCCGCCGTGTGCCTTCCCGTATGGCCCTCAGTCCCGATCGCGGTGCCGAAAATGATTAAATATTCGGTCACGGAAGCGTGGATGATGTACATAGCACCCATAGCACCGCCCGCGTTGTTAAAAATCCATTCTTCCTCCAAGTTCACGTGATGCAGGTACTTGGCGGAGAGGTTGGAGACGATGTATTGGACGACGGAGGTAGTGTCGTTGCCATGAGCTTCGACGGCAGCTTGAGCCAAAGACTGAAGCTCGGAGGGCGTGAAGATGTAGAACTTATCTAGATGTGAGTCCAGGAGGTACATTATGGAGGAAAGTGCACCTATCAAGGCACCGAGAAGGGTTAGGAAGCGCATCTTTAGTAAATTGGTGCCGCTTCGTCCGCGGCTAGTAAATGAAGAGTTTAAAAAAGGGAAACGCCAAGGGAGGAACTGGAAAACAACTGAATGCAAGCTCCAGAAGTAGAGAGATAGCGGCGTTGTTATAAGATGAAGGTTTTTGAAGTTTGATAAGGACGAAGAGATGAAGCCGCACATGCCAGTCGGGGTAAGGAGGCTCCCGGGACCCGGACTCTCAGCCCATATGCTTAGCAACACCTTTCCAAGGGAACTTGCCTAGACGTGCGCTCGCATTCCGTAGTATCCGGTATACCAACAACGCCGCTCCGTCTTTGTCACTCAAGAATGCCTTCGTTAATACCGGCTTCTCATCCCAGCTTTCTTATTTATATATAGATTTTAGGGAATTAGGTGTCAACTCGGTTATAAAGCTTTTTTATAAGGATTAAAACCTATAGCTCTTAGTAGTATAATTTAGCTTTACTTAGAGTCTAGACGATTAAGTTTTCTACTAAGATGAGTTAGATAATACTATTAATTTAACCTCTTAAAGTAATCTCTAGGGTTATTTCTTTAACTTAATTTAATTCCGGCTATATAAGCTAGGATACTCCTCTAGTACTACTATATAAGTAGTTTTATAAATACTAAAACCTTAATTTATTAAGCTATTCTCTAGAATCTATCTTTTTTTAGCTATAAGTTCTAGCTTTAAGACTACTTATTATAGTTCTCTATATTTCTAAGCTATATATAGCTACCAAGTTAGTTAGTACTACTAGTGTTAGGAGAAGTAGTAGGATAGCCTATATATTAGGCCTTATTACTTCTTCTAGCGCGTTTTTTATTCTAAGTTTAATTCTAACTAAGACCGTTTTCTTTTTTTCTTTTTTTAGATTAACTACTATAGTAAAATATACTTATTTTAGTATACTTATTTTAGTATACTTGTCCGCTTTCAGCCGCTTAGAATCTTAATATTAACCCTATTAACTTAGTTATCTACCCCATCTCTTTTTAGTCTTTCTTACCCTAAGTTACTCTAATATATTACTATATTCGGCCTAGCTTAGATCTAATATAATTAACTATACCTATTCTACTATATCTAACTGCTTATAGCCGCTTGGATTCTTAGTATAGTACCTACAACCCTAGATATCTACCCTAGTTCTATTAACTCTAAGTTCACTCTAACTTATATCTATATTGAGTCTAGCGTGAAACTAGTGTGGTAAACTATATTTCTTTTAGTGTATTTATCCGCTTACAGCCGCTTAGATTTCTAATATAAGACTTACTACCTTAGTTATCTACTCTATCTCTCTCGGAGTTAAGTTACCCTAAACTACTCTGAACCACCGCTATATTGGGCCTAGCGTGAGGCTAATGTAGTAAACTACACTTATTTTAGCGTGTTTCTCCGCTTGGAGCCGCTTGGATTTCTTATAGCACCCCTATTTAGTCCCTAAACCCCGCTCGGTACAACCGGCCCGAAAAGCATTGGTACAACCGCGGTTTTCCGAGTCCGGTGCTATTAGAGTTTATTTAGAGCTAGTAAAACTACTAAAACTATTACTATTATCTATATTATCCCTAATAATAGAGAATTATAGAAATAATAGAGATTACTAGTACTACTATCTATATTATTCCTAATAGAAGTAGATAATAGGGATAATAGAAATTATAGGTATAGTCTAAGTATATAGATAGCTAATTCTATACTATACTATAGCTTAGAAATATACTTAACTTAATATAAGAATCTTATATTCTTATAATATATTTAATTATTACCTAGTAATATGAATTTATTATTGTATCTTATCTTATCCTCTAATTTCTTAATTGAAATTATACTACTTTATAGTAGTAGCTATTATTATCTAGAGATAGTATCTATGATATAAAGTTATTCTTAGCTAGTTAGCTATTATAAGTTTTACTCTTAGAATACAAATTTCTATAGCTACAATAATATCTATATATTATAGACTAGCTTTACTAGAAACTATACTAGTTTATACTTACTTTATTCTACTATTAGCTTTTAAGAATATAACTACTTTATATATATTATAATTATATAATAGAATCTAACTCTTCTCTTTAGTTATTTAAATACTATAGTAAGTTTAATATCTAATAAATTTACTCTAGAATTATAATATTAAAGTCTACACAGACTATTAAACAATTATACTATCTAAGTATAAGAAAATATAACTTAAAAAGAAAGAGTAGCTCTCTATATTCGAACTCGTTAATATTAGGCTAGATAAAGACTTAAATAGAAATAAGAATATATATATCTAGACGTTGTAGTGGTGTAGGAGATTTATTATATAGGAGCTAGTATAGGGTGCGCGTACTAGGGTTTAAGGTTCTTTATTAATTAATTAGATAAGTTAGCTAACTAAAATAGTCAAGCATTAGTTGTATTATAGTATTAAGTAATACTATACTCGTTCTATATATTATTCAGCCTTATCTAACTTATCACCGTGATTCTATCACTACCTTAATAGTTCTACCTTAATATCTCACCTCTATAGATACGTATAACCTACTCACCTAAGTTCTATACTCAAATCCCTTATTGTCACGAACCGCGATAGATGATACGGAATAAAAAGTGATTAGTACTAAGCGTCACGTGAGGGACTAATTACCTAAGATACTAAGATAGGCCTAATTTGTGTAATTAGTATAATTAGGAATAGATTACACTAATTAAGGGGATTACTATATAAGGCATTATAGTATATAGGTAGCACTATTCTCGTTTATTAGAATAGTGTGCTTAACTTAAATAAGAATCTAGTATTCTTTATAACTTAATCTAATCTCACTACGTGACATTAATCCTTACTTTATTAACTATATCTTAGCACTATTCCCTATCTCCTTAATTAGGACCCTAACTATTATAGTAAACTTTGTTATCGTGTAATAGCACCTTATTACACTTATCTATAATAGTACGAGTATACTAGAATACCGAATATCTTTACTCTTCTAGGGTATTTAATAGCTAGGAGTAAGTGCGCTTTATATAGAGTATATATTCTAATTTAGTAAGAGTCTAGTAGAAATTAGTAGTCTTAATAGATAATTTAATTATTCTCTTTATAGACTTTAGATAGTAGGAAGCTCTTAAGTGTATAGATACCTTATTATAGGTAGATTAGAATCTCTTAAGCTTATTTATTTAAAGTATAGATAGAGCTAATATTTTAGTTTAGTATAGTTTTAGGAATTTTATCTAGTACTTTAATTATATCTAGCTAGATTACTAGTAGGTCTTCCTTATTTTTAGTGCCTCGCAGAGGGTTAGTAGAAGTAGTAGAGACTTTAGTAGAAGCTAAATAAATCTTATTAGTAGCTAGAGGAGCGCGCTTTAGTTAAGAATTAAGATTATACTACTTTAATACTATTTAAAACTAGTTTTTTTAAGAATTACTCCCCCTTTTAGTAGGGAAATCTCTAGACTAATATGTTAGAGCATCTACAGTTATATTTAGGCTACCCTTATAGTAAGTAATCTTAAAGTTAAAATATAAGAGAAACTCGCTCTAGTAGACCTAATAATAGTTAACTGACTTTATAGATATAAAGTATTTAATATTCTTATAATTTAAGATAATATTAACTAGTTCTTTTATTTTTTTTTATCTTAGAGTACTAGGCTTTAAAAGCCTTAATAATAGCTAGTAGTTCCTTATTATAAATCTTATAGTTATATTCTATAATAGATATTTTAGTTAAGAAGTAAGCTATAGGCTAGAGTTAGCCCTTTATATTTAGCTAGTATAGTATACTAGCTATAATATAGTCTAAGGCGTCTATTTCTACTATAATTAACTTATTCTAGTTAAAGTACTAAAGAATTAGTGTAGTAGTAAAGGTGTACTTTAGCTTCTTAAAAGTATACTTATAATCTAGAGTCTATAGGAAGAGCTAGTCCTTACGTGTAAGGCTAGTAAGAGGGGTAATAATCTTAAAGAAATTATAAATAAAATAATAGTAGAAGCTTATAAAACTAAGAAAGCCTTAAATGTCTTTTAGGTTCTATAGTTATAACTTTCTAGATATAAAATTTACACTTCTTAATATTAACTTACAGGCCTGCTTCTTATAGTTAGAGAAGCATCTTATAGACGTGCTCTTAGTATTCACTTAAGATATTACTATAGATTAAAATATCATTAATATAGGCGGTATAGAACTAGTCTAAATACTTCTAAAGAATATTATTAATATAGTATTAGAAGGATAAGGGTATATTAAATAGGCTAAAAGGTATTACTAGATACTTATAGAGGCTATAATAAGTGTAAAAAGCTATTAGCTATTTATTACCCTTAGTAACACGGAGCTTATTAAAAGCTGTAATAATATTAAGCTTAGTAAAGTATTTCGCTAATAATAGTTAAGTAAGAATCTTCTAGATAAAAGGGATTAGGTACTTATTCTTAACTATAATTACGTTAAGGCCCTAATAGTCTATATAGAACTAGAGGCCTCCTTCTAGTTTCTAGATAAAAAGAATAGAGAAGGCTATAGAACTACTACTAGAACGAATAAAACCCTCTATAAGATAGTCCTCTAGGTACTTTTTTAGAATAAGTAGCTTCTTTTTAGATATTCTATAAAGGGGGCTAGCAGGTGGCTTAGTCCCTAGCTATAGTTAAATATAGTAGTTATAGGTATAATATAGTAGTAGCTAGTCTAAAAGGTACTTTAAGAAAATATCTAGGAATTTATAGTACTTTAGAGGTAGAATAGTAGTAGAATCTATAATTTTCTTAGAGGTAAGGGCCTTTTTAATATCTCTTATTATAATAGTAAAGAGCTAGTAGCCTATTTTCTTAGTATTTACTAGGTAGATAAAGAGCGCGGCGCTAATTATATAGATACTTAGAACCTTTTATAGAAGTAAAGTGTAATTAAGCGGCTCTTTAGCCCTCTTCTAGAGAATAAATATAGAATCTAGATAGATATAGGGGATAGTA